TGTATTGGGCATTTTGGGCAGGTAAAGGAGGGGTATGAGATGGACTAAGATAGCACCCCCCAACCCTTCCAACTGTAAAATTCCTTGATTCTGTGATTCTTCTATGATGTCTTCCTTGGCCACTCTATCCCAAGTGACCTCTGCTTTCTTTGAAACTCACAGGACTGTCTGTACCTTTCATTGGGCATTTAATCATATGGAAAGGACCATATCTTATACTTTCCATTCTCCAAAGTACATGACTCAGTGATAACTGTTGAATGATAGGTCACATAAGAAAGAATCCTTCTAGTGGGGAAAAGATTATCAATCTGGAAATCCTAGGATGTTACTTTGAACAATGTTTTTCTTATTTAGTTATCTACAACTATGTCTAAGGAGGAGGATTATGGATTCCCAAGAATCCGTTGGCACCAAACAGCTGATCTTGGCTATGTCCCCAATGTGAGGATGCCCAATACCTTCATGGCTGTGGCAATGGACCTCTGTGACAGAGATTCTCCTTTTGAGAGGTACAAATTTTGGACTTGGCTTGAAAAATGTGTGAGCATTTTGTTCTGAGGCATGGCCACCAGTGTTCATTTTGAAGAGAGAAAAGAGTAATGGGCCCAGGGCTGTTTGGGAAAGAGGATGTTGTGGGAGAAATGGGAAACTGTAATGTAATACGAGTCATAAACCAGATGGCTTGAGGTTAGAGTGGAGGTTGAGGTGGGGAACACCTAGGGGAGCAGCTGACCTAGATGAATTTCTTTGTTGAAACTAGAACCCTCTAGTTACTTTGATACCTGAACTGAAATGCACTTATCCAAGGAGTAGTCATAATTCTTGGTGAGAGGGAGCTTGAGGCCTCTCCTAAGTTTTTTATAAAATCCTTCTATCACCCCCTCAGTTCAGTGCCATCCACCAGTTTAAAGAGAAAGGGCACCAAGCCACACCTTTTGGATCCCACTCACCATAATTGTGCTTAACAGTCTTGAGCTACAGATGACTGCCCAGTAGATCCAACCAACTATGTCCTGTTTGGAAGATGCTGTAGATGTTTATTTTTTTAGCTCATTGAACTCTTTAAACCTGTATTCCTTTCCATGTTCTTTCTTATAGCATTCATCCTAGAGATAAGCAGACTGTGGCCTACAGATTGCATTTGGGGGCCCGTGCTGTAGCTTATGGAGAGAAGATGCTTCCTTTTCAGGGTCCGTTGCCTGAAAAGATAGAACTCTTAGCTGACAAGGAGCTTCTCAAACTTGAATACCACCAGAAAATCCAAGTGCAGAAGCAGGATGACACGATCTATGAGGTGAGGCATAGCAAAACAACTGGAGATGGAGATCTGACAAACTCACCAAGGGTCTCAGAGTCCTTTATATTTAATTGTAACATTTCCGTGGGTCAGGACTATTACCAAAAGTGGAATGTACAACATATGTGACAAATATTAGCAAGTTAAGCATGTAAGCAAACTGAAGGCAAATCTTATAGGACGGAAACAATAGAAAATGGGGTCATATTTAAATTGTAGTCACACGTTCTCTGTGATATTGTAATGAGTTTTGTTATCTTATAGGTCACGTACCTAAAGGTATTCCTGACTGTGGAATATTAACCTTGTGCTTTGACTGACTCTGATAGTTTAAAATTTCATTAGTGATCATTTTGTATTAATCAGGTCCTCTTTTAAAATGCAAATGTCCTTGTGTGGGTTACGATTTGACAATTAGCTAGCTATATCAGTATACAATTAGTCATAGCATTTACAGTTGGAAGAAATAGACACCTAGAGATGAAATGATTTGTCTAAGGCCACACAGTAAATAGCAATTAGGATTTGAACCTAGGTGTTCAGATTCTTAAATCCATTTTTCTTTGAACTATAAAATGTTTTTTTTTTTCCCAGTTTGTCATATTTTTTTTCCCCCCCGTAACTAGCCTAGGGGTATGGAGGCTTTGATGAAGGAAGCATTAATTTTGGTATATAGGGCACTCTTTGGAGGAGGTAGTAGTAAAGATGAAAATGTTAGATTTGGAGTCCAAGGCCCTGAGTTCAAATTCTAACTCTATAATTTATTGTGTGATCTTGATCAAATCACTTAATTTCTCTGGGCCTCAGTTTCCTCATCTGCAAAATGAGGGGTTTGGACTATATGACCTCTAAGGTTCCCCCTTCCCTATGAGACTACACAGAGGAAAGCACTAAAACATGGGGGACAAGGTTGAAGGGAAGATGGAGGATGCCAAATGTAGAGTAAACTCTGTAAACACAGAAATTTTGTTTGCCCACCTCTGGAGCCACAATCATCATTTCTGTTTGTCCCAGCTGCTCATGTTTGGCTTTCATTTACTTAGCCTCACCCCATGCTCTTTTTTGAGGTCAGAGACTTTCATTTTTGTCCTTTTCCCGAGTGTTTAGCACACTGTAGCTAACAATATAGCAGGTGTTTCAATAAATTCCTGGTGATAAGACCAGGATTTGTGAAGGCTGCTTTTGACTTAGGTGTGATATCCAGGTGGTCTCTGTTCATCTTAGATCTTCTCATTTACTAGGAACCACAGGTTTTGGTCAGGACTGATCTTCAGCTTATTTATTATGTGTCAGTGCTATTAGTCTTCTTATTTGGGGACTTAAGTCTACTACCTAAAGAAGGTTCCTTGTTTTCCAGTTCTTCCTTCCTTATCCTTTTTTTAGTTCCTTAAGAAGCAACCAGAGACTGCAGTTGTTTGCTGTCTTCTGTGATAAATATACTTTTTTCTTCCTTGATTTATATAGCAGGGTCACTTCTAAAATTACATCCTTAGCACCTGCCTGAGGTTCCTGAGGCCTTGAATATGAAAGCTTTGCTAGATATTACCCATTGGGGCTAGCTAGTCAATAGTGGTGGCCTCTGCTCCAAACCTTTATTTTTGGATGAATGAAAAGCACTGACTATATGCCAACTACTGTGCAGTGCACTAGGGATAGAGTATTCTAGTTGTTTTAACTATAAGACTTGTTTTTCTTCTTGCTTCCTATTCCTAGTTATTGTAAGAAATGTGCTCTTGACCAGGAGCTACTCTTCTCTCCTCTGTTATTACTGAGTGGACAACTAGCCCTAGTCTTTTCAGATTTCGTGAAACCTATCGGACCTGACCAAATCTGATTATCTGACTGGTTCTGTTTTTGTTTCAGATCTCATGCTGCAATGACCATCAGTGTAAGTGGATTCCAGTCCCTATGGGCAACTCCTCCTCCCAGACTCTAGCCCTTAAAATTGATTGCTGTCGTGGCACTGTGACTGCTCTCCGCTATGCCTGGAGTACATGGCCATGTGAATACAAACAGTGTCCCATTTACAATCCTAGCAGTGCCCTGCCAGCCCCACCATTCATCACAGTCATTCCAAGTTAAGACTCCTGGCCGTGCAAAATTTGGGGAGGAGAGGGAATGAAAAAGAATAATTGATTTGGGTTGAGATTTCATCTTAATTTAGCTTTGATTAGATACTGGATGAAATGCTCAGGTCTTAAATTCTGGTCTGGTTTTCTATAAACAATCATGGGAGGAACCTTTAAGAAGCTAGCCAGAGAGGCACTGAGGTGGCACAATGGATTGAGCACCCAGCCTTGGAGTCAGGAAGACCTGAGTTCAAATATGACCTCAGATACTTACTAGCTGTATGATCCTGGGCAAGTCACTTAACCCTGACTGCCTTAAAAAACAAAAACCAACCAGCCAGAACTGAGCAGATTTAATATTTTAGATAGAAAGTATCACTATTGTTGATATTTTCTCATAAAAGTTTTTCACATTCACTTTGTGAGAAATAGTTTGGGAGGCACTGTTTAATTTAAATGCTGTAGGAAAGCCCAATATTTAAGAAAAATGGTTTGCTTTAAAGTGAAATTATCACCTAATTTATCTGTCTCCAAATTTTGGGGTTTTGTATGTTATGTTTTTAAAATAAGGCAAAGCTTTAAGATAGATAAGCAATATAAAAATAAAGTTATTTTGGTTACCCTAGGGTATTTTTTCTTATATCTGCCTACTTTATTAGAAATCTGTACTTTAATATCAACTTATGTGGTGCTTTTAAGATTTATAAAATACTTTCCTTATAACCCTTGTATCATTCGTGTTTTACAGATGAAGAAATTGTGAGGCTGCCCACAGTCACATAGCTAAGCAAGTCAGGTGGGATTTGAACCCAGGTCTTCTGATTCCAAATATAATGTTCTTTCTACTACCCTGTTCAAACCATAGATTAGATACTTCTTATATATATTACCAGTTAACTTAAAACCTTATTAAGCCAGGTTTTATCAAGTACTATTTAAAGCAATCTGATGAATGATAGAATACTGTATTTATTCCTAATCTCTGTTTTTAGCAGAAATTGTACTACTGAAATAAGGAAAGTATCCCATCTTATTTGGTGGTGTTCAGAATAAACAGAGTGTGTGGAATACACAGGGATCAAGGCTGTTGGCTATCAGGATTGTTAAGATGGTAAATCTGTAGGACTGCTGTAAGAAGTTTGGAGTAGGCAGTGGAGGCTTGAGACTAGTTAGCTCATGCAGCAAGACCAAGGAAACCGTTCTCGTCACTACCTAGTGATGTCTAGACCAGAATGGTAGTCTAAGAACAAAGAAACTAGAGGCAGGATAGGGTGATCAAAGCCCAGACTTTAGTACTGTCTCCAGGGAAGAGGCAGAAAAGATAAGGAAACTGCTGACTGTACATCATGGGCCAGACTTCTCTTGCCTCTATGTGTACAAGGCTCTTGTTTTTAATGGTCTTACTATAAAAATGAAGTAGCAATTTGGGCCAAAGGAAAGATTCAGATCAACGTATAGAGAACTAGATTATAAGTTGTTAGCCTTACTAAATCAGAATCATTATCTTTTTCTGTAACATGAGCTTTAGCAAAATAAATTACATGAAGGAGAGGAATTCACTTTAGCCTTAGGCAGAAGCAGCAGCAACCACAGGAAAGTGAGATCCTAATTACAACATTTTGAAAACAAAGCAGGAATGACAAGAAAAGTTTATTACAAAAGATAAAAACAGCCAAAGTCTTTACCAGGGAAAATCATTGCCAAGAGATCTTCTATGATACAATGATAAAAGATGTCAATGCTTCCATCATCATAGCTGGGTTCTGCTACTTTCATATGTTTAAGTTTTATCTTAACTTAAAAATTTCACCACAATAAGCCTGGTAGTCTCTGCTGCCTCGTTCAGTCTGAGGACTGGGCTGGGCTGCATTGGGATGGAGACTTAATGTGCTGAAGGTGGGTGGCTGGCAGGGGCTCATGTGTCAGGAACATGGGCTGATAGGATGACACAAATGATGCAGGCTGGAGCCCTGGGAGATCCAGAGATCCTAGAAAAACAATATAAGTTCTACTGCTACCTGGGAATGCTAGGTCACAATTCTGACAATATAGGTAAAATAGGCCTTTGCAATCAATTCTCTTACATCCTTTACTTCATTTTGTCAGGACTGTCTTCCCAGTGTAGTACGGAGGGCTGTTTTTTATATAGAAAGAAGATAAGGGCCTGAGCTTAAGGTCACAGTGAATTATAGGCAACAGCCTAATTCAAATTTAGTCCTCTAGCTCCTTAGATAAGGGCTCTAATGTAGACTATGCTGTTTGACCAGGCTCAATTATGTAAAGAATATGATGCTCTCCATTTGTGGGGAGACAATCCAAAAAGGCAGAACTGGAGCCAATCCCAATCCCTAAATATCTTTAGCTTGTTCATTTGTTACAGACACCGAGGTTTTCAAAGCCCTCCCTTGGCAGTATGTAAGGAAAACTGACAAGGAATAGTTTTCCTTAGCTACTTAGGACTGAGATGCTAATTCTACCAACTATGCTGGAAAGCTGCTCAAAGCAGTAAATTCTATCCCCTAAGACTTGACTCTACTTCCAGTTCATACCATACAAGGCCTTTGCTTATATGATGTCAAACTATAGGCAGAAGGATAGGGTGGCTGAAAGTTTGATAATTTTAACAAGAAAAACAAAAGTGAGGGAAGTTACCTGGTAGAATGGGATCACTGTGATCTTCTTCAAAGGCCTGTCTCTGAAAGGCCTCAAAGCTCATAGTTGCATCATTGTCTGGAAGCCCCTGGGGGACCTGACCATCCCCAGGTTTACACACATCAAACTTCACCCATTGGTAACTGTAGGATCAGAGGGAGCATTCTTGTGAGCAATACGATCTCTGTTCCCCTACCAATTTTATTATATATTTGGGGACTATGTTTTTATGAACATCCTTCAACATCCAGATCCGTATCCCTTCAATACATCTAGATTTTCCCTACCCTACTATGTTACCTATTACAAATAAAAGAAAAAGACTGGCATATTTAGAGTCCTGGTTTAGCCTTAGATTCTCTGGTCAGCTGACTGCTATAGTTCGTTCGCTTAGGAAAACCGATGTGGCCACACTCACTTGACACATTTCCGAGCTCCTGGACAACTCTGGATCAGGTTGTGGATGGTTGGATGAGAAAACCCAAAGAAATCAGCTCCAGATGGAAGCACATTGGGAAGTAGCTTCCCCCTAAACAGCAAGTGGAAAAATTGGAATAGCCTATTAAGGAGGACAAAGATCCAAGAGATAGGAAATAAGACCTCAGTCCAAAGCTGAGAGCAAAGAAAAACGCCTCACTGTTCCAATACATTCTGTTTCACCCACCAGTGGGCTGACTCACCAAGCTGCACTGATGGTCTTGAGTAATTCAGAATGACAGGCATTTGGAGAAGAGCCCACAATGGCATTCTCAGGGTCATCCTCAGGCACAATCTCAAACTGGGAAAAATGATGATGGAGTAGTTCAGGTAGATTTCCCAAGGAGGGTGAAAATACAAATCACGCTACTCTTGTAAATATACCTCACTGTGGAATCTGGGGCTATTCTGCCTCACAATGGACACTGGGTAAGAATGCTTCTCTTAGAGGACAGCCACAGGACAAGATAAGAACCCACATACGCCTGGGAAGGCTCAGTTGGTTTGTGGGCCATGAATTTATCTAGACTGGTCAGGCAGGCTTGGTATATTCCCAGCACTCCTCTTCAGCAAAGTTCAGACCCTCCACTCAATCTCATAGTTGTAACCTAAGTGAAAACTGGCCAATGAAGTTTAAGAGTTTTAAAACCTGGGGACAGGAAATAGTAATGACTGGGAAATTGGACAATTCTATGTCTGTGCTTTATGAAGAAAAATATGGAAAAGAGGGTTAGGAGTTTTATATCCCAGCTTAGTTTCTTTCATACTTAGCCCACCATGAGGTCCAAGCAGATCAAACTACTCCTGACCCTATGTGGCCCTGAGCTTCTTAAATTGGCAGGTCATACCTCTAGAAGAGCTAGTACCTGGGGCTGCATACCACCATCCTTGATTTGACAGGTGTACAAACACTTCTGGTCCGGGCACTTCATACTGGCATATTCTCGGGTACTGCAGAAACCCACAGGGTAGATAGCGCCCTCATCATGGAAGCCAGGTCGATCAGTGATGATCTATAGTAAAAAGGACCCACCCACCCCCCACAAGATTTTTGGTCACAACTCCAGGCCACCTGGAGCTGACAAATAGTGACTCATATCCCTGGAGTGTGTGTATAGCGGAAAACTGACCTGGTCTCCTAGGGACTAGTTTTCTAGGAATGGTATGGACTGGCAAGGGGTTACTTGCTAATGGGAACAGACCAGAAATTCTCACTGACATTTAATCCCATTCCCAAATTTAGCTGATCACCCTTTCTACCCACCACTGGTCTCACTCACCTCCCCTAGGCTATAAACTGTTAGACCCCCTAGTCCGATGGGAAACACAGGCCGTCCTGAGGGATCCAGGGCAATGGGCTGAACCAGCTTGCGAGCACCTCCCTCCATTTTCTTTTTCTTGGATGCTTTCTTCAGAACTGAAACGCAAACCTGGGGTCACCCACTTTAGGCCCCTTGTACTGAGGAAAAGGGCAGAATTTACTTGTGGAAGCTACAGATAGTTTTCTGGCTCTATAGCTTGGGCACTGTGATTTCTCCTCAGGCCCTTAGTGTCCTTACTAATTCACTGTCATAATCAATAACTTGTCATAACCAATTAGCTTTTGTACCCAAGGGTCCTTCCCTCTGAGAGCTTCCATTTCATTATCTAAAATTCTCAAAGCCAGAAGAGCCTTCCTAAAAGTGACCTATTCTCTAAGGATTATACCTCTCTATCCAAAAGAGATGGGAGCCCAGCTTTTTTTCTTTATGCCTGATCTGAATTTCTTCCTGCCAGTTCTAAGGTGTTTTGGTGGAAATATGTAGACACCAGTCACAGTGCCGGGTGTCTGCTACGAATGTGTGAGAAAACTGGTAAACTGACACCCTTAGGCAAAGTACCTTCCACTTTGTTGTTTTCTTTTCCTTTTTCTTTTTTTTCCTTCTTGGGTTTCTTCCCAAATGGTTCTTCAACCACAGAGCTGGATACAGGAACAGGTCCAGCTCCCTGAATGGGACCCACGGAAGTGGCCACACCATAACTCAAAGGCAGGTTAGAACTGTGGGTGTTTGCTACAGTCTGGATCTCTCCCCCTTCAGTCAGAGTTTGCAGCTGGAGTAGCTTTTTCAGGAGGTACCTTATATGATGAAGGGGCAAAACAAAAAAAGATACAGGTTTAGTGTATGCTTTATTTTCTCAATATTATATCTGAACTTTAGGCACTAGAGAATACTAGAATTGTGAACAACAATGTCAACATTATATAGTAGAAAGACCACTGGCTCTGCAGTCAGAAGATCCGGATTCAAATCCCAGCTCTGCTTTTAACTAACTATGGGACTCAGGTAATAAATATATCACCTCTCTGAGTAGTTTCTTCATCTGTAATAAAAGAATAATAGTATTTGAACTACCTACCTCAAAGAGTTGTAGGGTAAATGCTTTGTAAACCTTAAGACATTCTATGAGCTATTAGTATTATATGGGGTAGGTGGCTGGAGGGAAGGGAAGGAGACTGATACTAGAGATAAGGTATAGCCCGCAGAAGATCCAATAGATTAAAAAAGTCAGCAATAGGTGATCAGCCCCTCTCCCGTTTGTCCCTAGGATTCCTTGAGATGTGTTAATTCTTGAGGGGCAAGGACCATATCTTTGTACTCCCCATAATGTAGAGATTTACATGTTACGAAGCACTCAACAGGGCAGCCAGGTACTGGGCCTGGGATCCGGAAGACCTGAGTTCAAATCTGCTCTCAGATACTTACTAGCTGTGTGACACTGGGCAAGTCACTTAACTCTGTTTACCTCAGTTTCCCCTCTGTAAAATGAGCTGGAGAAGGAAATGGTAAACTACTCCAGTATCTTTGCCAACAAAACCCCAAGTGGGGTCACAAACAGCCAGACACGACTGAACAAGAGGCACTCAAAAAATATTTTGTTACGTGAATGCTATGGTCTCTTTATGCTTCAGTCTCCTAGTCAGAGTATACTTCCTTATATTTTCTACCCAATAAACTCTACCCAATTATCTCTAGGATCAAATATAAAGTCCTGTGTTTGGCTTTTAAAGTCTGCCACAACTTGGCTCCTTTCCACTTTACTCTCTGATCAGTGACACTAGCCTCTTTATGTTCCTCACATATGACACTCTATCTATTGATTCTGTGCCTTTCCACTAGCTGTTCCCAATGTCTGGAATAATCTCTCTCCTCTTCTGCCTCTTAGTTTCCCTAGTTTTAATCAAGATTCAATTCAAATGCCACCTTCTGCAGGAGGTTTTTCCTCTGCCCCCCCCCATTACATTCCATTTACACAACATATATCCTTTTAGGTACAATTTTTGCATGTTGTCTCTAGCATTAGAATATAATCTTCTCAAGAGCAGAATGTATGTTCCAGAGTTTAGCACAGTTTTTGGCACTAGAACTTAATAAATGCTTGTTGAAAATTGACTCATTATTCAAGAAAGCCTGTATGTTTAGGGTCTCTGCCATGTACTTAAGTCCCAGAGGGAAAAAAAAATCTTAGATCATTCTGTACAACCCAGTAAAAATGTGGTTTGCAACCACGAAATGTAGCTGACTCACCTTCTTTCTTCTTTTGCTTTGATAAACTTTTCCTCCAGACGGGCAATTTCATCACAAATAGCTGCATTTTCCTTTAGGAAAAATTTTGAAAAGCATCATCACTTAAGCAGGATCAGGAATAAAAGGTATAGGCCAGGAAGTTAAGAAATATGGTTAAAGGTATGGGATGTTATTTAAGTTTTTGTGGCTGGGGCATCTACTGAAGCCTAAGGAGAAAACAGGGGAACAAGGGTCCCTATTGGGTGACAGACAGGGAAGAGTCCTGCAATTGAGACCCTTAGGAGGTATTCACAACAGGGCATCTGTTCAAACCTTTAATATGAAGGCCAGAATAACGTAACTAAAGGTTAAGTCTGTTTCATGAGGCTCTGGCATTTCCTACATTTCTCCAGGTGCGGTGACTTTTCGGAGTACAGCAGACCTCAAATAACAAAGCATTTCACGAACCTAGTTACTCAAGGGTACTTCAGCTGCTCCCAGGCCTTAGGAAGGACACTTAAAGAAGCAACAAAACAAAACTCAACACCTTACATTTAATAAGTCCATTTACATATCTCTTTTTCAAATTTGTAGAAAAAAAAGTTTCGAACCTTTCAGCAGAATGAAAAAAGGGGTGGGACACAGAATTTCATGGGGAGTTAAATCACCAGATTTTCTCTCCCCACGATAAATAAAATACCGTGACCTGCCAAATGCCCCAGCTTTCGGAAAAGGGTTGAGACTTTTGCAGGGAAGCGTGTACTTGAAAAAAAACTCAGAGGTTCATCTTTGGGATAAGGAGCTTTATTCTGGGAGGTGGGTCGGCTGGGCCTGGCGGGGCCCGGACGCCGTGGGCAGGAGGACTCACAAACACCGTGGCCTTGGCTGCCTTCCGCAGCCGGAGGTACTTCAGCCGGTACTTCTCGTTCTGACTCTTCTTTAGGGGCTTTTTCATCCTGGGCTTGCTCGCTTGCAGCGGGGACAGAGGAGAGGAGGCGAAGCCGCCCAAGAGGCTCATGACCCGGCTCGGCCGCCGGGGCTCCGGACAGCGCGTTCCGGAGGCCCCCCCTGGGCTCGCGGCATCGGCTTCTGCTCCCGAGTGGAAGAGGAGAGAACGGCTCACCGGCTCCGAATCCGGAGAGGCCGCTGTGGGCCCGAAGACAGCTGTCCAGGCCCGCTGTACGGCGCCGGCGCTGCGCTTCCGGGTCCCGCAGTCACCGGAAGGGAGAAGGATTTAGAGGAAGTGACGTTTGCTGCCCGGAATGCATGCGCCCCCTGGCGGCTGGCGACTTTGGAGCGGACTGTTGGCGGTGGTATAGCGAGCGGAACTGCGGTTGCGCGGCCGTGGATGGGAGCCGCAGCTCACCTTCCGAGGCCGAGACCTGCAGATGGGAAGGCAGGGAGGGCGGCTGCCCCAGGATGGGTTAGCAGTTTGTCGGAGCCCGGGAGGGGCAGCCCTTCCCTCGCACGCCCAGTCTCCCACCCCTCCTCTTACAGATTTCTGTCTAGACCCTGGGCTTGTGTCCCTCGTGTCCTGCTGCCTGGGCCCTGCCCCTAGACCTGGGGCCATCTATCCTCCCCAGTCCTTTTAGGGTCAAACGTCGTGGATCAAAGATCGAAGTCTCTGACCTCATATGACGTAGAAGAGGGTCCCCAAAGTATTAGGGTGGTTAAGCTGCCCTTTATTTGGTATCCAGAACTTTTGAACAGTTCACGTATATTTGGGCACAAGGCTGGGGAAAGTGTCTGGACTGGGATTTCATCGGTCAAAATAAAATATGACAGTCACAAAACACTCCAGTGTCCCCAGGATTAATGAGAAAAAGCTGCTGTGAGCCCGAGGTTAGCTCTAGAGCTTTATTGGGCGATGAAAAACTCAAAAGCAAGGTGGAACTGGGGTGCAGAGCTAGTAGAACCCACTGCAGTTGTATGCAGCTTGCTATACCCGACTATGTATGATACAGAATTAGATGAACAGAGCTGGAAAACGTCCTCAGATGAGTAAGGGGAGGCCTAGGAGTGCTGTCCTGACTTGAACAAAGTTAAGTAGTTCCACTGTGATTTCATAAGCTTGATTACTCTAACTTTCTAGATTGGTTTTTGGAATCTTCTTGTCTGTAGGGATTATTACCAGCTATGAAAAAAAAGAAACACTCCAAAACCAGACAGTTTGAGAGAACACTGGGAAGAACTGCTGCAGAGTGATTGAGCAAAACTAGGAGACCAATTTTAGAATAGGACCTAATGATAAATCAGGAGTCCAAGAGAATGAAGATGAAATGACATTCACCTCCTGACAGAGGTAATTTAGACTTGGCTTATGTAGGAATTTGTTTAGTTCAACCCTGAAGCCATATATTGAGGGCTTGATTTTTGTTTTCCTTTTTAACTTGCTTGTAGGTTGAGGAATGATAATGGGAGGGATAGATTAATTTTAAAAATGCTTGTTAATTTAAAAAATAAAAATGGCAAACTTAAAAAAAAACTACCATTTTGTGGTAATTACGCATTTGATGATATGTTGTTATTCAGTCAGGTCCCACTCTTTGTGACCCCATTTGGGATTTTCTTGTCAAAGATACTGAAATGGTTTGCTGTTTCCTTCTCCAGCTCATTTTACAGATGAGGAAGCTGAGACAAATAGGGTTAAATGACTTGCCCAGGCTCATATATAGCTAATGAGTGTCTGAACCTGAATTTGAACTTCGATCCTCCTGACTCCATGCTGGGCTCTCTATCCACTGTGCCACCTAGCTGCCCATTTAATGATATAGAGTTATAGAATCAGCAGCCTATAAATGGTGGTAGGAAGTTTTCAATGTTTTGTCAGCTGCCTGATTTATTTTCGGCCTAGCATTCTTTCAAGTCCCTAGACAGGTAGGCTCTATGTTTATTTACTTGGTTCCTCTTTGTACCACATAATAGAGGGAAGGAAAGATGTCTCTGATGCAGCTTTCAGGCTGCTTTGAACTAATGGATCTCAACAATCTCCATATAGGAAAGTTTAGAATCTGGGTCTGCCTCTTCCTCCTGAGACAGTTTGAAGGATCCCTGGTCCTTGGGTGGAAAAACAATCTATCACAAGCCAATTTGATGAATTTTAGCTAAAAAGTTCTAGGAATCAAAATATATCATTTTCTTCTGATTCCAGAAGCTTTATTGCCAGTTTGAATTACATATGTAACAATTTTCTGCAGAAACTTAGAAAGTGTATAGCTGTAAAGAAGAATTTATAATACAAAGGTCAGTTGACTTCTTGCCACCTTCTCCTCCTCCTCATCCACAGCAAAAAGGAATTTATCTCTAGAAATTTAGATTTCAATGAAGATTCGATTAAGCCCAATATCAGAGAATAATGTGGAAGATTTAGAGGAAGTAATGTAGAATCCCTGCTCTTGGGGAAGGCTAAGCCAGGTGGATCCCTTGAGCAACCGAGGTGAGTTAGTAGGGCTAACACTGATCCTCCAGGGGCATAGGGCCATTGTGCTGCCTAAGCATGCACAAATCAGCCCAGGTTGGAAAAACAGACCAGATTAAAGCTTCTATGCCAATCAGCAGTGGGACTGAGCAGTGACGGGCCACTGTACTGCTCGCCTGTGTGAGATAGAGAGACCTACTCTCTGAAAAAGAAAAGTTACTAAGAAGGAACTCACTACCATCAGTTTATCATTCTGATTAGTAGGGATTTGTTATTGAGGCCTTTGCAGTGTATTGTTATACAGAATCATTTGCAATGACATATGTTGAATTTGTGGTCAGGCAGGGATGAAGAATCTAATTCATGGTCCTAGCCCTTGGTGTTGTAAATCTGTAGTTGAGATCATGAAAAGTTCTTTGTAATCTTTAAAACATTATACATGTATCAGGGTGAATGATGATGACAAGGAGGAGATGATACAGTTTGAAACGTAAAGAACATGACAGGAGCTGTGTAACTAGCCTTCTTCTAAATTGCTCATTTTGGTCCAGGTTTTGCCTGCCTCAAAGCTTTGGAAACAGATTAGGCCCTGTTTACAGGTTCCCTTCACCATCATCTACTTTCCAAAACATGATGGACAAATTCTGATGATGGCAGGACTTTTTGAGGACCTTGAGTCACTACTATAAAAGTCACTATCTATAGGCTAAATGACCATTTAATCCCTAGCCTGTTAGGATCTTGCATCTGGATAAGAGCCATGGAACAAAAACTGAGCAGTACATATGTTCACAAATAGTTCCATGCTCCTTCTTTCCTACTACATCAGTTGGACCTTTGTCCTTAGCTTCTTGCTTATAAAGCTCCAAGAAAAACTGTGATTCGAGCCATATCTTTTTCTAATGCCTAATGGTATGGTTTCACCTAGGGAACTGAATCTTTTGGGTGGTATAGGACTTGATCCCCAAAGGTACTTCCTAGGCAATTCTAAAGCATGCAATATGTGCATTTGTATGTGTTCACGGGTTCTTTGACTGTTCATTAGCAATGACAGCAGGGGAGGGGAATTGTTCTAATGGCTATGGGTGATCATCATATGCCTTGGGTGTAAGATGTTTAGGTTTTGAGGGTTCTAAGCCAGCCAACAAGGTCATAAAATCTACCACTGTGTCAATATGGTGCTTCTGAGTGGTTGTGTCTTTCAATATACACAAAACACTCAACCAGCTGAAAGAGATGAGCTCAGAGATGTTGGCACGGAGGAAAAGCAGGATCACATTGAGGTCATTGATGGGGCAGCCCAGCATTTTTCTGCTGAGTAGGTCAAAAGCTGGTAGCATCTCATAGACAGATAGTAGTCGCTTATCCCACTGACACAGTCGTGTCAGGTTGTACATTATCACTGGTACCAGGATTAGGTACACTGCTGCACTGGAGAAGCTGATCATCTGGAAGATGGAAAGAGAGGTCAGCCTGCATGTAATCAGATCTGGGACATGAATCTCATCCCTTAGCAGCCCCATTTTGATAGAACAGCTAAACTCCTCTTGGAAGAAGATATTCAGGTGGAAGTATCCGAGGTACAGGCAGGTAGTTGAGATGAAGAGGAGCAAGAGGGAATTCCTTAGGAGGTAGGTAGCCACCAGGACATGTGAACGCTGCTTACAGGCAAGGTACCTTTCTAGCAGGGGGAACTCAAAATACCGTTCTTTCCGAGCCCTTGGGGGGAAGACAGAAAAATGGAAAAAATGCAGAGTTAGCAAGAAAGTTCAGTGGTTGGCTTTGGAGAACTTCTTAAATCCCTGCTCAATGAAAGCCAAACAGCGATAGTAACAGAATGGGAATTTGAAAAGGGTTATTGTACTTAGTAATGTGTTCTTAGAGCTAGACTTATTTTTTTGACCCCTTTTTCAAACTTCTCTATTTTTGTCAAGGGCATCATCATTTTTACTATCACCTAGGTTCACAGCCTTTACTGCTTATTTGTCACTCCGTGTATCCAGTCAGTTGCCAGGTCTTGATTCTACCTGTGTATGACATCTCTCACATCCATCCCATTCTCTCTGCTCCTCCTTTTCTCTATCCTAGGTCAGGCCCTTATCAGCTCTCATCTGCACTAGTTTGACAGTTTTCTATTGTTCTCTTATGTCTTCATGCCTTTGTACAGGTTGTCCCTCGAGCCTGGAATACACTCCCTCACCTCTATCTTTTATAATCTCTAATTTCCTTCAGAGTTTACCTCAAGTACCACCTTCTGCGTGAGGCCTGTCTTGATCCTCCCAGTTTCTCATGTCTCCCTCACCCAAATTACTTTGTATTTATTTTTCTATATGTTTGGAATATACATATATAAATACATACATATATACGTAATGCATATACACAATACACACACATATAGATGTCTTTCCCCAATAGAATATGGGCTCCCCATCTTCTAGCACATTGCCTGCATATAGTAGGTACTTAACCAATGCTTGTTGGTTGATTACAGTTTACAGTTTTCCCCATAACAACCTTGTAATGTGGATGATAAGTATGATTATCCCCATTTTATATATTAGAAAACTCTGCTCAGATTATGTAATTTACCTGAGGTCTACTATCTACTGCCTATAATCTCAGTGTTTTTCTCATTGTGTCACAGTGCTTCTCACGATATTTTAGGAGTTCAACTTTTTGAGAACATTAAAACACAACTACCCCAACTCTCCAGTGATACTAATCTGGAGTGTGTCTGTTTTTTCTTTACTTTGCCTCCAAGTACCTAGTACAATGAGTTAAACCCTATAAATGGCATCTCTATCTCTATCTATCTATCTATCTATCTATCTATCTATCTATCTATCTATTTGTCTATACCCATAAATATATTAGTGGAAAGATTGATCTTCTTGGTCAGGTAGAATATATCTGAAAAATAGTAAGATCGTTAGGCAGGAACAAAGTTTATTGGAATGAACACTGGGCTGGAAACCAATAGGACCACATTATATGGTTTTAGTCCTATGTACTTAATGTGAATTTTTAAAAAATTAGTATATTCAATCCATTTTTCCATTCATCCATTAAGTATTGCATCCAGCGAGGTACTTAGTTTATAAGAAAAATGAGATATAGTTATTTTCCTCAAGGAGCTTAGAGTTGAGTTAGGGCAACAAACTCCACGATGAGGGATGACAGTTGGCCAGTTAAAGTGATCTACTGGTACCCTGGCAATGTCAGGAGAAAGCAGAGAGGGCCTCTGTCATGAACATATTGAGTGGACAGTCTGAGGTAAACTTATGGAGGACATGGATGAGAATTGAATGGGATAGGTAGTCGTGGATGGGTTGCAGTGTACATCTTTGAATCAATGAGATCACAGGTGCATGGAATATTTGACTGTATAATCACTGCCAAAATGATTGTTAAAGATAGTGCCACAGGAGTTTAAAAAAAAAAAGGACAGCTCAGTATAAACTGGGAAAGTAGGGAAAGGCTTCATGGAGAAGATGGGATCTAAGCTGGGAGGGTGGGTAGGATTTGGATAGGTATAGAGTGGACATGTGCCTTTATGCAGGAGGCACTGCATAAACAAAGTTTTGGAAGTGGAAATGAACTGAAGAAACTTTTGCTTGGCTAAGATGGGAAATAAGATTGGAAAGGTAGAGTGGTGCTAGATTACAGCTGACCTTGAAAAGCATTCTGATAGATTCGGATTTTGTTCTATAGGCAGTGGGAAGCTAGCAAAAGTTTTTGATCAGGGTAAAGAGATGGTAAAAGTGATAATTTGGGGAGATTAATATTTTCAGTATGCTCATCTATAAAATGGGGGTACATTCTTTGCTCTCTTTTTAGATGTGTTAATGATATGAGGTGTTAAGAAATTTGAACTCCTGGAAAAGAAGGTGTGATGTGATTTTAATTGCATGAATACCAAACCTCCTCCAGGCCCCTTCTTCCACTCTCATTGGAACTTAAGCTTTTCGGGAGAGAACAGATAAGAACAATACATAGGCTACAAGTTTCGAAGGACAACAAACTCACTTCTCCAGCTCATCCCAGAAAACATCAGGGTCAGAGCTCTTCTGACGGATCTTTAGCATATGTTGCACTAGCCGGATGGAACGGTTATAAGATTTGTCCAATTCACTGATGATGAATAGGAGGTCAGAGCTGAGAGATGGAGCAGCCACATAATTCCATAGCAGAGTTGGTAGGTACATGAGCACAGCCAGAGCCAAGAGGGAATAGGGGAGAACCTGCAGGGTGGTGGTTAAACTTCAGTGAGTATTGTGGAGAAAAACAAAAGTGCTGAAAGTATTATGAGATGAGGGGCTTTTTAGAGAAGGGACCATTGAAGGGATGAATTTTTCTCTTCCCTCTCTTCCTAAATCAAGGGCAGAAATGGCAGCATAAACTGTGAGCCAGCCCAGGACCGAGGACTGATGCTGTCTCTTAGCTTGGTGAAGGTCAGTGGCTCTTGACACGATCAGGGGGATCTCCTCATCACCAACTATGCTGATAATTTTCAAGAATGGACAATTCCACCATCAGGGAAAGGAGAGTGAAAGAAACTTCCACATAGAGAAATAGGTACCAGAGTTTTGCAGATTTGGTAGGACAATGCTAGGAAAAGAGGAGTCAGCATTCTCAATCTCCCTCATCCCCTTTCTCTGATCTCAGTTCTTCCAGTTCCCTATATCATCAAACACTAAGATTTTATCCATTTTTCAAAGCCCAACTTAAGCTTTTATAGAAGCTTATTATAGAATCACAGGGTCACAAACTCTCATTGTTGGAAGGGACCTAGTTAGGACTCTTCTATCAGAACAAAAATCCTTTCCACAATACTTCCTTTTATGAAAACTTTGCTGATTATTCCAACCCACAATGTTCTCTCCATTTTCTATATTGCTTCTTGCTCATACCACACCATCTAGCATTCAGCAACATATGGTCTTTAATTGATCTCTGGGTATTTCATATGTGTGGCTTGTTTCCCCAACTAAATTGTAAGTGCTTATATGTCCCTTATGGCACTTAATCAATGGTGGGTACATAGTAGACACTTGGTAATTCCATTAACTTGAATAGTTGATTCACAGCTTCTGACTGTGTTAAAGAGTAATGGCTAGGCCTCAAACTCCTCTTGGAGGAGAGTTTGAAAAAAATGGAAAAGAAACCTAACTTTACTGCAGTTGAATTAATGGAGGAGATTTTTTTTTTAAATAAAAAGAAGCACTTTTTTTTTTCAGTGATGCTGCTTCATGAGGTGAGAGAGGGTTAGAACCAGTGGGCTAGAACCCTCTCCAACTAGCTTGCTAGAGTCCATTGTAAAAATTTCATTTTTGGTGCAGTGGATAGAGCACCAGCCCTAGAGTCAGGAGCACCTGAGTTCAAATGTGGCCTCAGACACTTGACACTTAACTAACTGTGTGACCGTGGGCAAATCACTTAATCCTATTGCCTAGCAAAAAACAAACAAAATTTCACTTTGTCCTTTTACATCTCAGAAATTGTTGCTGCACATCAGGGCTAGATTTATTGTTTTATTGATTATCTAGGTTTAAGAAAATGTTAATAATGCAGAATAAGCTTAAAAGTGCATGTCCATACATTTTCTCCCCTGAATAGTGCTTGTATTGCTCTATTAACAGTGCTTGAGCTGAGCAGGAGTGTAGTAAAAGGTTCAGGGAGTGAAGTCATCACCTGACTGTAGGTCTGGTGACTGTAGCATATAATAATAATAATAATAATAATAATAATAATAATAATAATAATAATAATAAACAATAATAATAATTGGCACTTATATAACACTTTGAGATGTGCATAGTGCTTTACATTCATTATCTCATTTGAGCCTTACCAAATCCTTGATTAGAATCCTACAAATTCCTGTTTTAGTTGAGAGGTTCCTTTAATATAGTCCCTGGTTTTGTATGGATGTCAGTACTATGGTATTTTGGAGGCCTCATAAACTCATACATATAGGATGTTAAGCATAGCCTTTTCCATCTCTACACCTAACAGTTGGGCCATGCCGTAATTATGCCTAGACTCACTTTACCTTGTGGGTCCAGAGGGATTTTGTCTTATAGTTTCCATCAGCATCCCATTCGTGATGTACCAGGGAGTCCCAACAGGAACTGTCCACATAGCCAGCCTGCCTGATGGTGAAGTTACTGGGAGAAAAACAACTGATCTGAGAACCTGGAACAGAAACAGCATTGAAGTGGCATTAAACTATGCAATGGGAGCCTAGGAAATGATATTCTCTGCGAACCACCCCCCAATGCTCTTATCACTCCTGTGCTTACCTTCCCAATTTCCTTCAATAAGCATTTATTTAAAAATATTTTTTCAAATAACCAAAATCTATTTTTTTTCTCCCTAACTTCTCTTCCTTCACCTTGGAGCAAAGAAGAGAAAACCTTTGTAACAGCTATGCATAATCAAGTAAAACAAATTCCCTCATTGGTCATGTTCAAAAAATGTCTCCTTCTGCACCACTCTGTTAAGAGATGGATAACATATCATGATCAGTCTTCCAGGATCATGGTTGGTTATTGCAGTGATCAGAGTTCTTCATGCTTTCAAAGCTGTTTGTCTTAACGTTCAACAAGCATTTATTAAGCACTTACAATGTATCTCTTAGAAGAGATTGTCACATTATGGAAAGCCTAGAATTCTGACTCCAAATTGGAGGGGCAAGGTGGTCATGGTGGTGGCAAAAGATCCTAATTTTGTATTTTACTATCACTTCCTCAAGCACAAACGCTCCTATTTTGTAAATGGAGAAATTGAGGCAAAGTGAAGTCAGATGCTCTTTTTAGATTCCCTAGAGGGAGCTAGGTGGCACGGTGGAGTGTCAGACTTGGAGTTAGGAAGACCTCAGTTCGGTTCCTGCGTCAGACACTAGCTGTGTGACCCACTTAACCTCTCTCAGTCTCAATTTCCTCATCTGTAAAATGGGGATAATAATAATACCTCATAGGATTGTTGTGAGAAGGATCAGATAATATACGCAAAGAGCTCTGCTAAACCTTAAAGCGCTATATATAAGGTAGCTATTGCTATAGCACAGAAAGGTGTCAGGATCAGGAAGAGAATTCAGGCATCCCAAGCCTTAGCTGTTTGATATTTTTTGTTAATGGGGAAAACAAGCCAACCAGGTAGGGTAGGGAAATGGCATTGATGGTGGAGAGGGGAGAAGAGAGGTGTAGGGCACAGGCAGGGAAGAGGAAATACTTCTTTCCTTCCTACAGCTCTGGGAAGAGATAGCAGCTTACCAGGTGAGAACTCCTGGGCAAACGCCAAGGACATCAGCAACAGGGGGAAGCCCACAGTCACAAACTTGATGATGCGATCGATGGGCAGCTCCAGGCGCAGTCCCTTGAGGTGCGGGCCTCTTCGGTCAGGCAACAGGGCATCTGAGAGCATGTACTCTGCAGCGGTGTGTGCGAGGGACATGATGCTCCTGAATGGGGGGCCTGCAAAGCCGTTGGGAGGGAAACCCAGGGGTAGGGAAGAGCAGAAGGCAGCTTCAGGCTGCTGGGCTCTGAGCTGAGTGAGCCCGCAGCCCAGGAATGAACTGTGCCATGAGCAAGGGACTGTTCTGTAAATAACTGGCCAGGACCCAGGGTGCTAACCTACTACTCAGTTAATTAGAGGGAGGCTTGGGGCTTGGGTGTGCCTCTGAGGATGGAGGGTCAGAACAGAATAATCATCTTTTCCCTCTGTGGCTGTCCGGAGCCTGGGTGGGGCCTCATGGCTTTATGCAGGCCTCTCATTAATGAGTTATTTTCTGCCGGGCTGCTGGGGGTGGGGAGGGGAGGCATGGGTGATGAAGAGCTATAAAACCAGTCCCCATCCCCTATATAATTGGTGTGGAATTTGGATGGCGTTTGCTTAAATGTGTTGACCACCCTCAATTTGTGGTTTAGGGTGGAGATAGAGCTCCTAGGCTCAGCTAGAGTTAGGTATCCCCTGTCGCTAGCCTGCTTTATCCTAAAGATAACTTGAGCTTTGGGTTTTTGCTCCCTCCTCTAAGCCAGTCATGCTGCATTTGACATTAAAAATATCCTTCTTCTTTTGATTTTTCTTTTGCATCTTTAATTTCTTACTTCAACATTTAAAAAATCTGCGATTTTTTGGATTTTTTTTTTGTTGCTGTGGTAGATTGACACTCTCTCAAGACTTGACAAACAGTCTTTGAGAGTTATTATGGCTAAAAAATTCACTATTCTATGGGCAACATGATAATGAGCCTCTATGAACATAGATAGGCTAGTCCTCAGATGACAGTGCAAAGGGATAACTTGCCTAGAAAGAATGTAATTGAAGGAAGTAGGGGGCTAGAAAATTTTGAGTGGGAATGAGAAAAGAAAAAGCAAGGGTATAGTTTGAGAGAAAAGACAGGTAGGGAGAAGAATGATTGTGTACTTCTTTTCTAATTAAGCCAAGTCAATAAACATTTATTAATTACTATGTGCCAGGTACTGTGCTAAATGCTGGGGATACAAAATAAGTCCAAAAACTTCCCCCTGAAAACCAAACCCCCAAAAGCAAATGAAAACCCCCCAACCCCAAACAATCATTGCTGTCAAGGAGTTCACGGTCTAATGGAGGAGACAACATGAAACAACTTTGTACAAATGGGATATATACAGGATAAATTGGAGAAAATCTCAAAGGGATGACACTAGGATTAAGAAGGACCAGGAAAGGCTTCCTGAAGAAGGTGGGACTTTTGACTAAGATTTGACAAAGGTGAGGGGAGCTAGAAGGCAGGGGGGAAGAGGGAGAAAGTTCCACTTATGGGGGACAGCAAGTGAAAAATACGAGCTGTTGAGATGAACAGTCTTGCTCAGGGAATAGTAAGGAGGCCAGTGTCATCGGATTGTAGAGATTGTGGTGGAGAGTAAGATACAAAATGACTGTAAAGGTAGGAAGAGCAAGGTTATGAAGGACTTTAAAAATTGAACAGAAAATTTAATGTTTAATCTTGGAGACAGTAGGGAATCACTGATGTTTATTGAGCGGGGAGGCAGTTGATGCTTCCTTAGGCTGTGCTTTCCCTAGGTTGCCTGAGAGTGTAAAAGGAACTCACCCTGATAATGTTTTGTCTTTAGAAACTGATGAAATAATGAAGTTTTTTCTAAAGCCCAATTCTAAAATATTTTTAATTCATTACATTATATTTACAATCTTTTTGTTGTTGTACAGTTGTTACCATTGTGTCTGACTGATCTGCATATATTCATTACAGGGTCCTGGACAGTGCAAAATTATTCTAAGATTAAGAAAATGTACAAATTGTACATAAGCCTGATTCAAATAGAGTAAGGATGAAGTGTGGGTTTGGAATGGGAATAGAAGAGGGGGTGATGGTAGAGTGTTCACTTTAATAGCTTTATAAAATATGTTGTTGAGGCCCTGGAAACCAAATTGGGCAGCATGCTATTTTTGGTTGCTATGCCAATTTCATATTTAGAGTTCATGACCAAAAGTCACACCAATTTTGTTCCCTAAACCAAGGTCTTTTCTATCTTCTTCTCCTTCTACTTCTTTTCTTCCTTTTCTTTCTTCACTGGCCTCCTTTTCCGCTTCATTTTCATCTTTTGTGATTTTAAAAGATTTGTTGTTGTTGTTTAGTTGTTTTTCAGTTGTGTCTGACTCTTTGTGACCCCATTTGGGGTTTTCTTGACAGAGATACCAGAGCGGTTTGCCATTTCCATCTCCAGCTCATTTTACAGATGAGAAAATGGAATCAAACAGGGTTAAGTGACTTGCCCAGGGTCACACAGCTAATAAGTGTCTGAGGCCAGATTGAAACTCAGGAAGATGAGTCTTCCTGACTTCAGGCCTGGCACTCTATCCAATGTGCCACCTCTCTGCTGAATTTTAAGATAATTCACTTTAAAACCTACGTAGGAAAACATGGAGTGCCCTTAACCCAAACAAAACCGCATACATTCTGTTGTTCTCTACCTTTCTGCAATCTGCCTGTTATTCTCTGTGGGGAGCATTTGGAATGGTGACAGATTTTCTTTCATCATCTTGACTACATAGAAAGACTAGATGGCAGAGGTTCAATCCCTTAGGCAGATTTGGTTCCATTTGTCTCTGGCAATAATGCTAAGCAGGTTTTGTCTTTTTCCTGGGCTCTGCTCAGGGCCTTCTTTCTTATAGGATTCTAACATGGAACTTGGAGATTCATTATCCTTTGCGCTTTTAGAAATATAGTTTTTTTTTCTCCCTAAGTGTGGAGGGAAAAGAATCCTTTTTTATACTACATTTCAGATTCTTTTCCAAATTCCAAGTTATGAAGAGATCTGGGGAAAAATCAGAGTTGGCTGTTATGTGACTGTTGACTTTAGTGCTTTGCTATGCTTATTTGAGAGATAGGCGTGGAAGTAAGCAGGTGAGTCCTTGAGGATTATTGTTATGCTTCTGAGGGGGATATAAAGGGGGCTTGTCTATAGTTCCTTGCATGAGTCTTGGGTTACCAAAGAAAAATAGTCAGGGGGAGAGCTGCTCACTCCTCATCCCTATAATTTAAATCTTCCAAGGGCTTCCTTGCTTTCACTTACAACATATTCTTCAACCAGTATCATAATACTTGCATCAGAACATATTTTTCCTCAAAGTTTTCTGCAAGGCAGCTTTTACCTCTTTGTTTCTCAGGCTGTAGATTAGGGGGTTTAGCATGGGAATCACTGTGGTGTAAAATACAGAAGCTACATTCTCTTGGGCCAGGGAGCTGGCTGTTGAAGGTTTTAAATACATGAATGCAGTAGACCCATAAAATAGACCAACAGCTGCAAAGTGGGAGCTGCAGGTGCTGAAGGCTTTGGACCTGCCTTCATTGGAGCGGATGCGGAGGATGCTGGAGAGGATGAAAGAATAAGAAACAAGGACTGTTAAGCTGGTTGCTATGATGTTAAATCCAGCCAAAAAGAAAATCAACATCTCAATATCATAGGTGCTGAAGCAGGAAAGTTTCATAAGGGGGATGATATCACAGAAGTAATGACTGATGAGGAATTTACAATAAGACAGTTTCTGCATAAGGACTGTCTCTATTGTTGAACCAATGAGTCCCATTATGTACACTGTGGCTACCAGTAGGGAGCAGATATGATGGGACATGATGACCTTATAGAGCAGTGGGCTACAGATGGCTACATAACGATCATATGCCATCACTGTCAGCATGTAACACTCAGCAATAACAAATACGAGGAAGAAATAGAGCTGAGTCATGCATCCTGGATAAGAGATTGTGTTTTTCTCCAATACAAAATTTCCCAGCATCTTGGGAGTAATAACAGAAGAGTAGCAGAGATCAACAAATGACAAATTGCTGAGGAAATAGTACATGGGGGTGTGAAGGCTGGAATTCAGCCCAATGAGTGTGATCATGCCCAGGTTTCCCACCATAGTGATTATATAGATCCCAAGGAACAGAAAGAAAAGAGGGAGTTGGAATTCTGGACGATCTGTTAATCCTGCAAGGATAAACTCAGTCACTGTCGAGTGATTTTCTGCTGCCATTTTCTTCTAAGTAAGGATGGAGAATCTGAGGAATGGAGAGAAGAACCACGTTAAAGGGTGCTTCTAGTTCTACCCAGCTGAGGGTGGGATAGAGTTGGAAACTTATAACCCAGGATTTTACTGTAGCCATTAGATCTGTTTCCACTTTTCTGCAAGAAATGTATATTTCACTTTACAAAATCTCATATTCTATCAATGCCCTTAAAAAAATAAAAAACTTGTCCTGCAGAAAACTTCTTCCAGGTGTTCTGTGCCTGTTTTTTCTCTTTCAGTACTTTATCTCCTCATTGTTGCATCCATCCAGCTCCCTGACTCACCCATTGGCAGAGTCTTTTTTCACTGACAAATTTTGGATGTGTTGGAAAAGAACTGTGCTGCTTAGTTCAAGAGATTTCATTTTGAAGCAGTAACTTGTAGCCTTGGGGAAAAATAGCTAGCATTTAGATAGCACGTTAGAGTTTGCAAAACGCTCTACAAATATTATCTAATTTTATCTTCACAGCAGCTCTAGAAAGCAGGTGGTATTATTAGTTCCATTTTACAACTGAGGAAACAAAAGCAGATAGTGGCTTGCCTATGGTCACATAGCTTGTAAGTAGCTAAGACAAGGTCTCAGATCTCCTTGATTGCAGGCCCAGTGCTCTATTCGTTGCATCACCTAGCTGCTACCCTCCTTACATTTGTAGCTTAACTTCTTGTAATTGGAAGGGAGATAGCGGCTAGGTTTATGTGAAGACAAATATGATTCGAGATGCCATGAATATTAGAAACAATTTGGCATAATAAATAGAGAGCTAACCTTGGAGTTAAGAGAACCTAGATTCAAATCCTGCCTCTGACAGATCCTAGCTGTGTGACTGTGGGCCACTTACTTAACCTCTCAGTGTCTTAGGTATCTTTCTAAAATAGAAGTC